TCTGGCCTGCTGCTTCTGTTCAGTAGGTGACAATTGATTGTGGCTCCTGAATGAACTCTGTGCCACATAATAGAGTTACAGATTAAGCTTTGCTTATTTACCTTCTCATAAGTATCCATTGAGATGCCTTTAGAAAAGAAAAGCTAATAAAAATGTTATGGGTTATTCTTATCTTTTTATTCTTCAATCCTTTATCTGCAGTGATTTCATTGTAGGAGATTTTTATTTGCTGATTATGCATTGAATCCAAGTTAGAAGAGCACAGAGCCTGTATATTCTCAACTTAATGTGCTTTTTTTTTATGACTGGAGGCTTTATCCTATTTGAATCAAGTTCTTTATAGCAACATCTCAAAAGAAAGTTGTCTTGGACTTGTGGATCCCTGAGACTCACTGGGAAGCCAGCAAAGCACCAGGGCAATGGGAAACTATCAAAAAAATGTTAGTGACTAAGAGATGACAGCCAAAGTTGTCCCTTAGTCCCTACATACACCCATACACATGCATACACACCTGCCCACATGTTTGCCCCTGCATACACTTGAACCTGCACATACATACATATATACACATATCCAAAACAAAGGGAAAAAAACTAAAAATTTTGCAGGACATGGGAAAATGATATAATACAATAGGTAGGGCAGAGCTAAGCCTGGACCAAAATGCATGAGCCAAGGGATAAAGAAAACATGGTTGCTAACAGAAGGAATTCAGAACTCAATCCAAGGCACCAGATGTGCTGAATAAACTGTGGCACCAAACCAAACAGATAATGGAGCAGCAATGAGCAGATAGGACTTCCCAACACATCCAGGTACACAACAGAGAGTATGAGGAAAAGAAGTGCTTGGTCACCTTGAAGCTAGGTCTTGGGAGAAGCTCAACATACATGAAACTCATGTTTGGCCCTTTCAAAAATAATCTCATTTCCCTTGGACTATAATTTCCAGCTTTCATCATTCCTATAGAGCTAGCAGCCACAGTCCTTCTTTCTCATACAATGGCTGGATTTTGAAAAATCTAAAGAAAATGTACAATATGATTGATATCATGTAAGTATCCAGAGACGGTGCCATTTCTCTAAGCATTGCCAGCTCTGAAGAAAGGGTGGAATGATGTCATACAGTTCTATGAATAATCCACTCCCTTCTGGCTGATGTGTGGCCATTTGACACCATCACTTGAAAGAAAATAGAACCATAAGTTCCCTTGTAGTCATTCTACCCCTTCAACTTCTTTGTTCCAAAGAGGATCAAGACATCAATTAAAACCTTTTGTCTGCAAATAGAAATGTGAAATAAGAGAACATGATGCCTTTGTACTCTCTATGAAGATCTGCCCGTGTGACTCTCATTTCATATTATAAGTGAAAAGAATACAGGAAAATTATGGCATCTCATTCAGAAACTTAACTTCCTTTAAGAAGCATGAGTTAGAATCAAGACAATGTTAGATGTTATGTGATTCAACCTCTGCTAATCAAATGTATAACAGCTAATGTTCATTAATAATATTGCCTGTGAGGCAAGTGCTAGTCCTGGCAAATTATACCCCACTTACTTATAACAAAACCCCTATTGCTCCTTGTTAGAAATAAAGGGAACTGAGGCACAGAGATACTGGTTTGCATAGTAACATTGTAAGTGGCAAAGCTGAGCAGAAAGTCTGATTTGTGGCTGTCAACACTGTGATAATTGTAACTCATTTATACCATTGTGTGATGGGCATAATGACTCACTTGGTTCTTAAATGTTACTGCTGCAACTAAATAGTAATATGGTATAGGATATTTCACTTAGAGATTGATGTAAACTATGCATTGTCCATTCATACCTCCTTAACAGTCTCCCTCCCCCCCCTCTCTCTGTGTGTGTGTGTAGGTGTGTGTGTGTGTGTGTGTGTGTGTGTATGTGTGTGTGTGTGTGTGTGTGTGTTTTCAGGTGCTCATGCACCTATGTGTACTTGCATGTGGAGGCCAGAGATCAACATCCAATATCTTCCTCAAATGCTCTCCACCTTATGTTTTCTAAAGGGTCTCTCCCTGAACCTGAAGCTCACTTATTCTAGACTGGCTGGCCAGAGAGCCCTGTTTGCACCTCAGAAGCACTGGTATTACAGATGGTCTCCCCATGCCCACCTTTTCTACAGATGCCAGGGATCAAACCTATGTCCTCAGGCTTATGGGTCTTCCCAGAGTCTCATTGACAATTTAAATTTTCTTTTTTTCTGCTTCATTTTTAAAGTTTGTGTGTGTGTGTGTGTGTGTGTGTGTGTGTGTGTGTGTGTGTGTGTGTGTGTGAGAGAGAGAGAGAGAGAGAGAGAGAGAGAGAGAGAGTGCACAAGTGCATGTGTGCATGAGCATATGGGTGGCATATACTACAATACACACGTGGAGAAAAGAGGACAAGTTTATGGAATTGGTTCTGTCTGTCTGCTTTTCATGAGTTCCAGGTATCAAACTCAGGTCTTCAGGCCTTTCCAGCCAAGGGCTTTTACCTCTTAAACCATTTTGCTGGCTCTTGTTTTGTTTGTGAGGCAGGGCTTCACTCTGGAGCCCAAGCTGATACTGGGGTTAGGGAGCTCTTGTGTAAACTTCCCCAGCACCAGGATAAATGGAGGTTGTTTCTGAATGTGATTTCTTTTCCCCTAGTGCTGGTGACCCAACTGAGGTCCTTGACCATGCCAGGCAAATGCTCTCTTCCTCAGAGCACTACCTCCAGTCTCTGATTTTCATTAAACCACTGCCTCCTTTTAAGGAGCTGGATCTGAGCTAGGGATTGATTGTTCTTCTTTTCTCAAGTAAGTAGTGTTTACAAAATGAACAGGTGAAACATAATACAAGATAAACGAATCTGGTTCCAGAACCTATTTCTGAGACCAAGTCTTCCGGGAATGGACCTTGAATGCCTGCTTTTAGGATGCTGCACTTCAGGTATGAGTGGGAGCAAATGCCTGTGTGGCATATGGACCCACTCCTGAGGCAAATAGGATGGAATCCCATGTGCCACCCTCTCTGCATCGTCCCTCTCCATTCCTGCCAGTCAGCCCCGGCCATGTGCCTGTCATCAGGTGTGGTTCTAGCCTGTCTGCTGAGTGTGTGAGAGATGGGTGAACTTCTTGCCTCTTCCGGAAAGCGCATCTGCACATTTTAAAAGGAAAACTGTCATAGATTCCCAGGGCTTGGGGAAGCTTGGAATTTCATGCTTTCCCTTCCAGGTGCGCACACTCTTGTTCTTTCATCTTATAATTTCAAAATAGATGGTCAGTCTCTTGAAGATTCAATGTCACACAAACAAGCATTCAAACTTCCTGAGATGTTGGGGTTTGCTTTGAGTTCACCCAAGACTGATCTGTTTCAAACACTGCCCAGCCCCAACATTTACTAGCAGTTTCACTGACACATCTACTTTATAACACTCTAACTCTCATAGACCCCAGCATTCAAATCCTTTGTGTTGTCAGCATTAGAACAAAACTGCCACATTTCTGTTCATTCTGGAGCCAAAGCTGTAATAATCCACTGTTATATTTTATTGGTTGTCCTCAAGCTGTCAAAATGTTTGCAGTGACTATCACAGCCAAATTTATCTGGGGCCGTGGGCATCAGGCACACTGGTCTCCTCCAGAGAAATGGGATTAGATGAATAGCAAATACACAAAAATTAAAGAAACAAAATGCAGTATGCCCAGTGTTACCAAATATGATAGATTTTGTTACACAGAAATGATTGATATTTATATAGGTAAAATCTGAATTGTTATACAAAGCAGTACCAAGCAGATTTTCAACAGAAAATAACTTTTTTAAATGCATTTTATTTTTAATTCTCCCTCTCAGAGAGAGAAAGAGAGGAGAGAGAAAAGGAGAGAGAGAACACCCACAGAGGCCAGAGGCATCAAATCAATATTTCCCTAGCTAGAGTTACAATAGGGTATGATATGGAGCTGAACTGAGGTCCTCTGATAGAACTGTAGAAAGGACTCTTAACTGTTGAGCCACCTCTCCAGCTACCACAACTTGTTGTTACTTTGTGATAGCTGAGGGTTAAAGTGGTGCTAATCATAGTTCAGTATAATTGCTAGATTTCATGTTGTATTAACTTTATGATTGAATTCCAAAACATTATGCCTGCTTCCAATTAATACAGACACTCCGAGAACCCCCAGAAGAGTTTGTGGAGCTCTACGATCACATCTTGGCAAGCATAATGAAGCAGAAAGGATAGAGGTTTAAGTCTGTCTAAATTCCCCAGCACAAATGGAACTCTTCCTACCTGCATTTGAAACTTAAATTTCACTTTGAAGTATGTTATTCATTATATATAGCTGCAGAATTCCGAATTAATTAGCTAAGGTAAGGAGGGGGGATTATTCAGTGTAGTTATCATGAGGTTCATTTTCTACATAGAATGAAAAGAAAAACCTTAAATTTTATTTGACTGGAATTACACCAGGAGAGAATAAGCGGCATGGGAAGAGGGTCCCTTGTCATAGGCCAACCACATAGTGCCCAAATCAGGTTTGAAAGGGGCTGTGTCACTCAGAGGTAGGCACACGTGAATCCTCACAAACTGGACACATGCATTTGTATTTCCCTAGTTCTATTTTCTTAACAAATGCAAGGGCAGTTATTAACTGGAGGTTAATTTAATCATCTGGCTTTTCCCTTTCAAAGCATAAGTTTTACTTCCTGGCAAAATGTATTAATTTCTAAGAAATATGTGCAAAAATAAATTGTACTTTTTGATATACTTGTGTATCAGCTTCAAATTAATTGTTATTATTTGGCCCAATGAACTGAAAGATAATGTTGCAAGCATTGATGTTAAGCCTGAGACTGACCGTTTTCAAGTCCCTGATTTGACTCTTAAATATATTGAAATGTGAGTGTTCATGCACACCCATGTAGATAAGCATGTACGCATATGAGTCTGTGGAACCCACAAGCATCTTTCTTCAGGGGACTTCCACCATATATTTTGAGACAGAGGCTCTCACTGGGACTGGCTGACTCACTGGCTATGTTGGATGGACAGCCAGTGAGGACCAGAGAACTCCTAGTCTCCTCTTCCCCAGCACTGGGATTATGAGTGAGCACCTGTACACCTGGCTTTTCAATGGGTGCTTGAGATCAAACTCAGGTCTTCATACATATGTGACTGATACTTTGTTAACTGGGCTATCTCTCAGACATGCTAGTAAACTATTTTTAAACAGATTGTGTTTTTCTTGTTACTGTCCCTTGTGAACAGCCCAAATTCTGTGGTCCATCAGAGTAGCACGTACCTCAAAGACCTGTTGTATCTTCACAAAATCCTCCACACAGAGCTTGTTTTCAAGGAGGCCTGTGCCATAGTCTTCACTCACAGTAACACCATCTCTTTTCTCAAGATGTATTTGCGGTTGCTGTAGCCCCATGTTTAATCCAACTGCAGCATCAGGGTAAGTCCTAATAACTTCACCCTTCCTCAGCATCCTTCAACTCTCTGTGCTTGTTTCTTTTGTTGTTGCTGTTTCCTTCAATAGGTACCTTTGAAAAGGAACCCAACTTAGAAGATAATTTAAAATGAAAGTTACAACTCTATAAGTAGAAGGCAAAATGTTTGAATAAAAACATTTTATCCCCCCACCCAATGAAGTTCTTGCCCTCAAAAGCCACCTTCCAGCAAATGTGGAGTTGTTTGTTTCCTCTTTCTTGGTGCTTTTGTTTGTTTCCTGGCAACCAACTGCGAGCCAGCTGACTTTCCTTTCCCTCTCTGTGCTTGGCCAATGACTGAACTGAAGGTTTGAAAGTTTATTGTAATTTTTAAGTTATGCTTTAGAAAAATAGTTCACCTTACTCATTTTTAATTAAGTTTGCCCTCTATTATTCAAAGACAACTTTGAAAAATATATTTTCTCTGAAGCATGGCTATACGATTAGCCAAAGAGAAGAGCATGACATTTAAAAACTTTATACTTTCCATTCACAAAATATCTTATTTTTAATAAAGTTCTGCTCCTTGTATTACCTTTGTCATAATTTTCATGTACATATTGTAAGAATAGCACAAAAAAAGATTTCAACTCATTAAAACTGTCAGGGAAAGGACAAGTATTATTACCTGAAAAACAGTGATGGTTTTACTACATTGTTACATCTATCTCTACCATCTCCAGTTCAGCTAATAAACATGTTAAAGAGGGCTGGGTGGGACAGAAAGTGGTGGTTGTTTTGTTGTTGCTGTTTTGTTTTTGTTTGTTTGGTGTTTTTGCTGCTGTTTGTGATTTTGTTTTGTAGTTGGTAGTTGTCATGTACCATTTTCCAGAAACTACACTTGGAAATTTCCATTCCTTCTCTTAGTTGAACTCCATACAACTTTCTGAAGCACACAGTACCATGATTCCCATTTTATGAGTGATGTGACAACATGGAAAAGTTAGTAAGATGTGGACCACAGCAGAGTGTCTCCCAAGCAACAACCCTTGTGTTTCAGATGGTTATTTTGCATCTTAGTTTCATCTTCTTGAAATGAAAACCAATCAGGGTAGTTTCCTTGAGGTCTGGTCCATGTCTGAGGGTCTATGAGATCCACAGTGCATAGTGATGCTATGAAAGCCTCTCCCACAGCACAAAGGAAGCTTTCTGCAAGCATCTTGTGCCGGCTTACACACACACACACACACACACACACACACACACACACACACAATTTTACTCATGCATTCATCTACTCATTCATATATCTCTTGTATGTTCAAAACTCCATAACAACTATTTGGACCTGGTGCCTGATTTTGTGAGACTTACAAGTTTAGTGGAGTGACTACATGTCTAGTTTGTCTTTCAAGTGAAATCTCACCTCTTGCTGCTTACAGTGCTGTATTCAGAAACACGCTGAAGTCAGAGGTGCAGAGGAAAGGATGGCAATATAAATTATAGATAATGTATCACAGATGCAGAAGGGCAGATGGGTGAACTTACAAATGTATCTTTTTTTGTGTTTGTGCATGTTCATGTTTGTGTGGATACACATGTTTGTGCAAGCAAAGGGCTATTTCAGGGTCCTACATCAACTGCCATCAATCTATTTTTTTTCTTTCTTTTTATGAAGACAGAGTCTGGCCCTGGCTTGGTCTTCTGAAATAGTGTCATTTAGCTGACCAGCAAGACCTAGGGATCCTCAGAGCAAAAGCTGCAGGATCTCCACAACACAGGGAGCCAGTGGAATGTCCAGGAAGAGCCTTAGTGGGGTCTAGCATTGAACATGTAGATGAGACCAGGGTCCTCGAACCAGACCAATGACTCTTTGCAATGAACACTTGCAGGTAGCGATGTATGGACCAAGCACTATACGATGTGACTTGCTGCGTAGCACTGCAGCTTCCATGATGAGATTTTAATTCCTTCCCTTTTCTTTTCTCATTTTTTAAATTTTATTTTCTTCATTTTTTTCTTTGAATTTTGTTTTATTTGGGGAAGGGGATGCAGGAGCAGAGGGCAGATGTGAGGGAATGTGAAATGAATGGGATCAAGGTACATGATATAAAAAACACATAGAATAACTAAATTATATTAATAAAATATTTTAAAGACCTAGGGATCTTTCTGTTTCCTGTGTCCATCTATGAGGTACTGGGATTATAAGCCTGTGCCACCACGCCCAGCTTGTGTGTAGGTTCTGAGGATCAAATTCAAGGCTTGTAAAGCAAGCACTCTACCAGTGGAATCATCTCATGAGTCACAACATTTACCTTCCCTAGATTAGGCTCTCTTACAAACTAGGAAAACATTTTTCAGACTACAGTCTTGTATGCTGCTAAGCTATCTCACATGGGAACAAATTTTTGTCTTCCTACCATTTTATTGGGTAAGTTAATAATGGCTTGTATCAACTAAATCAGTCCCATGTGTGTTTGTAAAATATTTTATAGTGGTATTCTACAGAGCTGGGCTTTGTTCGGCAACAGATACTAATGAGGGAAGGAAGAGGGAATAGCAAAAGCATTGGCAAAGCTACACCAGAAGGTACCCCACTGGCTGGTAATGCAAGATTCCCTAATTATTCTAAGACCATTAAGCTGCCTGGCCTACTTAGCTTCCATAAAGATGTATCTCTAAATGCTTTCATTAGTAAGACAAGAATGTGTAATGAGCAACTAACTAATTGGGTAGGAAATAATCAATTCACACAGTTGTCTTTCTGAGAAATTATGGCAGCAGAAATCATTTTTGATAGTAAAGTCCCAAATGGCTCTAATGTCCATTATGGTCACATGGGCAATTTTCAGGTTACATTTCCATAGTCCTATAAAAATCCATAACCAAGCTCTTGAGTGCTGAACTTGACCTCCTTTGCCATTTTCTGTGAATCAATTACAATTCTATAAGGAAAATCAGGATGAAGTCTATGTGCCCAGTGTTGATATTTTGCTAAGGCAAAAGACTTATAAATTAATAATGACTCACTTCCCCTGAAGGGATAGGCAAATCTCCATTAGCACAGTATAGTATCTGCTAACGAATGGGCTGGCACACCCACCTCCTTTGCTTCCTTTGAATGCCAGGGACTGAATGACTTTTTCCACTGAGCAGACACCCCATCTGTGGCTTTATCCCTACACTCCAGACCACACTGAAATGCCTTTGCTCTTTCCTTCCTGTCATTACTCTGCAGTGAGATGAATGTACATTCCTCTGTTTTCTTTGCCATTCGTTGCCCTTCTCTTTGGGCTTGAGTTACAGCTAACTTTCTTTACTGTCACCTCTAATTCTCTTCCATCTCTTCACTGGAAATTGTCCCGAGTCAATTGCTGCTGCTTCTCTGAGCCAGAAGAGGAGAGAGTTATCTCCTCACTATCTTTTTGTCTCCTGAACCTAAGGCTTCCCAACCTGACCCCACTGACCAAACAGTTAAAAGCAACTTCCTCCCAGAGCCCATGGTGGAGCACAAGGTTAACTTCAGCATATTTTTAGCCCTTGAGTAAATATTAGTTTCTTCATTCCTTTGTTTCCTTGTCTTCCTGGTACAATTAATTGCTCTGTCTATTCTGTGAACACAGCATTTTGCTTTAGCTTTGTACTTTATCCATAAGAATGTTTTTCTATATCATAACATAGCTGTCTGTGTTATGTTTGTCATTCCTACGAGGGTAACACCTTGAGAACAAGTTTTTACCTCAGGAATGCCTGTGACCTCTCATTGCCCTTCAAAAAGCTGATCATCAGCATGGTGATGTGTGCTAATTCTTTGAACAGCATGAGCAAAAGCAAAATTACCTGCGAGTTACTAATCTGATTTGGTGAAAGCACCAAATCAGAAAAAAGGCATAATTTGATCAAAAGACAAACAACATTTGACACTCTGTCCTTTCGATGGTTGGTCTTGACTGTGCATAAATTCGTTCGTTTGACAGAATTTAGAAGCACCTTAAACACATCTCTAGAAGGATTTGTAGGACATTCTCAGAAAGGCTTAGTTGAGGGGTAAACCTGATGATATCCCTGCAAGATACTTAATATTTTATCTTTTTCCTACCCCAGTCCAGATAACCTCAAATTGCATACTATACTAGCAGCAGAGAAGTGATACTAAGAGCATTATGTAGATCATTCATTCAGTTCTCTTGTGAGCCCTATGCTGCGCACAGTATAACTGCCACCAGATTTTAGTGAAGAAACTGAGGCATTCATGTGTATGAGTCATGTAACAAAGAAACACCAGGGCTGGATGGAATCCAAAACTATACATGCCCATGCACTTCCTCCTATAAGTCCCCAGAAAGAGTAACCTGCTAAAAGCTACAGTAAATTCCATTCCAGTTTAGGAGCTAAGATGTACAAAAAGTAAGGTAACATGAAAGTAGATGCTAAGCAATAAAGTGGAAGGTACGTAGAATTCAGGTCATGCTCAAGTCTTAGTTCTTATTTTCAGTCCTAAAATCAGAGGCAGGTCGAATAAAATGAAGATGATAATACTGTTTAACATATAGAATCAATTACTAGGCTTAAATGGTAAACTATAATGAAAACGGAAATGTGTAAAGGCATCATTACTAAAACCTTGGGAATATGCAGTAGGATTTTGTAGAGGACGGGAAAATTGCAATTGCAAGCTAGAATGAAGCAAATTTGTCTACATCAGGGCATGGCATGTCTACACTGAGGTTCTATAACCATTTTCATTGCTTTTAGGAAGGTCTAACATCTAAAGCTATCCTAGAGAGCAATGCCATATCTGTATTTCAAGATTACTCATGAAATTCAATGATGAGAGGTATGGGGGTGAAAGGAGTTATCACTTTGTAAAATAATGTTCATTTTTAGCACGAGGCAGATCTAATGGCCATTGCAGCAGTCTTTACTGAGATCTGTTCTGCTTGATACTCTGGATATTTTTTAAAAACTGATTTACTCTTTGGCAACTTTACTTTTTTAG